TTCATAGTATGAGTCAGAAGGAGCGTTGGTTTGTCATTCTGACTTAAGAGTATGTAAGGAGAGTTTCCATAGTTGAAGAGTTCAACAAACACATATGTATATTGGCGGTACGAACTAGAAAGAGTGTTGGTTCATCGTCTGGATTGTGGGGGATGGAGTTGCGATTGCAGTAGGGTGGGGGGGCACAGTAAAGATTACCTTGAGTGACATGCGCCGGCCAGTGCTTGCCTTGGCCTCATTCAACTGTGCTGTCGTGTAGACAGCATGGGGGGATCATTGTGTTTCTTTTCTTGACCTAGACCGTAACGCCTAACCCCTAGCCCTCCAGACCTGGGAAAAAAGTCACATACAAACTGCGCCAATCCATTCATAATGGCCTGAAACGTGCTCCCACACACTTTCTGAAAAGTCCATACTGGCTGTGGCACTTCCTCTTATTCTTTTTGGTTAAGTGATGCAGAATGACAAAACTCTTTTTTTCTATTCTTTTTCTTTTTTAGTCATTTTATTGCAATCATACATTTTTAATTATCAGTATTTTTATGTATTTGACAGTGATTCATGGTCAAAAAACAGAATATTTGCATACTTTTGTGAATAAAGACTACATTATTGTTAGTTAAACCATATGTCATTTATTTCATAAAACATCAATTACAATCAGGGTACCAATCAGATGCAGATCTCCTTTACTAGCCTGGTATGGCTACAAAGTTAGTATAAATAAATGCAGTTCTCAATTAGAGGCTCCTGCTTAGATCTATACAAATGTAATTTATTTTCAATATCAGTTATCAGTATCACAATTCCATCCTTCATTTCATTTTACATTAATAAACAATCAAAAGAATAACTCATAATTTACAGAAATTAGAGGCTTGTCTAAATATAGGCAGGTTGAGTTTATGGTATAATTAATTTCCTGTTAAACCACATGCCACAATAAAAATAACAATTTACTTAAAATTTAAAACACATTTCCTTGACATTTTCAAAATGTATTGGGAAAAAGTCAAACAAAAAATGATATCAAGCCAAACCAGCCTCAAGGCACATCTGATAGAATTTACCCTGATTGCGTATGAGCTGAGAGGGGGAGTCCATCTCTGCAATGCTGCCGCAGTCCATCACTATTACCCTGAGGACCAAGAGACAACAAAATGAGACAACATTCTTCAGAGATAAAAAGTCAGAGAGGCAATAACACAAGTCAGGCGAGTTAGAGATAGAAGATAAATATAAAACATAATACACCACTTACATTTTTAATAACTATCTGGGCATTACAAAACAGAAAATTAACAACCATTATAAAATTACAGTAAAGGAGTCTTGGTAGTACCTGGTGTAGTCCATGATGGTGTTGAGGCGGTGAGCGATGGTTAGGACTGTACAGTCATCAAACTGAGCGCGAATGGTTGACTGGATCAGCTGGTCCGTCTTCAGGTCCACGGCTGCTGTGGCTTCATCCAAAACCAAGATCCTTGTCTTCCTCAATAGAGCTCTGGCCAAACACAGCAGCTGCCTCTGACCAAGACTTCAGAAAAAAGTATTACACTTCATAATGTGCTTAATATTGATATGGATATAGGTGAAATGATAAAATCATGGAAGGAAACTTTTATTTATGTAAATAACCCTAATAAATAGAACCCAAACTCATTGGCAGGTTTGAGATTGCTATGAAGACTGCAAGAAAACAGAAAAAAAGAAATTCACTTCATCATATCAACCTCTGATCAACACAAGTACTTTAATGAAGGTTGAATATCGGGTAAATGTATTTTATTATATATATTAAGCTCTTCTTTAAGCTCGCAATCCTAGACTACATCCTAGGCTTTGCGCCTAGGTAGTGGTGTAGTAAAATAGTCAGCCAATGGCAGGCTGATACCCACAGCGTATTTCCTGTGAGCCAGACTACAGGTGGATCTACCTGAGGTTCTCTCCTCCTTCACAGCACTGATGGTTCAGTTTCTGTGGCAGTGCCAACACGAAGCTGCTGAGATGAGCCAGTTCCAGAGCTTTCCACAGATCCTCATCTGAACAGGTATCAAAAGGGTCTAGGTTCATCCTCAGAGAACCAGAAAACAACACTGGGTCCTGGTAAAGGAAGGTCAGAGGTCACTTTAAAGCCTTTTATAAATGCTCAGAAATCTTGTGATTTATTTCAATACCTCCTAGCCTTTAGAAAACATCATATTTAGTAAAAGATCTGGACTGAAAAGCTTGCAGTTTTTGTTTAAAGAGTTATTTGCTTTATGAAAATCCAAACAGGCTGTCAGACTAAGACCAAGCAAGTTATTAATTGAGGCTACAGGCAGGTTACAAATTTAATGTTAACCAAACAATCTAACAAGTTTATAAGATTACCATTACACTGGGTTTGATAGACTAGAATGATGAATTAAATTACAGTAGATTATAAAAACTGTCATTAGTTGGACACCCACTGTAATTATACAATATGGTTGTACTCTGTTATTGAAAAATATCTTAGTTATTTTGCATGCTTAATAATGTTTGGAATATATTCCTGAATAAGCATAGTCTGTATCAACTTCTTTTCATTGAGTTTTTTTCTTATATCTTGCAATAGATGATATACCTAATAACAAGTCAATGCTGATATTGTAAGCTAATTGAAAAAGGAGTGATGATAATACAGTAGTACATGCTTTGAATTCCTTACATATAGCTATGCAGTGTTCTAAGCAGACCAGATATGCATAAATAATAAAATGCTCATAGCAATCATAAGACCTTAAGACTTCACTCGGATTTGCCCCTCAAAGACTTCAGACTTGACTTGCAAGCATCTATGCTAATTAGAGAGTAGTTTTTGTCTAATTTGACACAAAATAAGGTTCATTACTACTGTGAAATAAAGTGTGATAAATAATTCCCATAAATTATCATAAATACTGTGTATTGTGCAGTGACATGATGATAAACATTTCAGATTTTGTCTCTTTGAGGATTGTATCTATGTTGTGCTTTCTACTGCGTGAAGTACTCACTGTATACTGTAGCAACTATATGAAAGTGTATTTGTCACTTCTAATGATATACTGTAGTACTGAGGAATGATGGTAATTCTGGAGGTATCATAATAGCCGATCAAGGTTTTGTTAATCCCATTGATGAAGTATTTGTACTACAGTATTTGTACTGAACCATTTGTAATGTTTTGAAGTATTTATACTGCAGTATTTACAGGACTGACCTGAGGGATAATGGTGATTCTGGAGCGAAGATCATGAAGGCCGATCTGAGCAATGTTGATCCCGTCAATAAAGATTTGTCCCTTTGCTGCCTCCAGAATCCGAAAAATTCCCAAAGCCAGAGAAGACTTCCCAGCTCCCGTCCTTCCAACAATCCCCACCTGCGATTTCATTATTATGATCAATTGTTATTCATGTTATATAAGATTTATTTCACATGATAAAGTCATAACTCAAGTCAAAGAAGTATAACTGAAAACAGTAAAATTATTACAATTTGTTTCAACTCTGTACATATTTTTACAGTGTGTGCTATTTCCTGACATATTGCCATTGCCTTGAGATGAATAATAAAGAAAAAACTTTTAGACTGACCTTTTCCCTGTCCTGGATGTCAATGGAGATGTTGTTTAAAGCCCAGTCCAAACCTTTACGGTACTGCAGTCCGTAGTCTTCAAACTGGATGTTTCCAGAGGTCGGCCAGGCTGATGGCAACAAGCTGCCCTCGAGGGTCCACGCTGCCTGGGGAGACACATCAGGCAGGTCAGGAGGGCTGGATGATCAACACCAACAGCTCCATAATCAGTTCATTAGAAAAAATAAACACTACAATCACTGTGAGGACACAAAAGAAACAGCAGAACAATAATATAGCATTTCTGTACTCCAGTATTGTTGAAAGCTTCTGGCCTTAATTTGGAGTCTCAAAGATGTTGGACTATAAGATTACAATTTCCATTTAAACCAGGTACTATTATACAGCAGCTTACCTCTTTTGGTGTGTTGTCATACTCTTTGACTCTTTCCACTGACACAATGTTGTTCTCCACATCAGTCCATGATCGGACAATCCAGCTCAGGATTCCTGTCACCTACCAAAAAAAAAATGACACCATCATTTGTCTGAAGCATTCTTTGTTTCAATTGCTAAAAGTTCTTGTTTTTAGGCCTTTACACAAGGTGCATTTTTTTCAGATGGTTAATTCACAAAATATGTTTTTGTTGAGTACTTTCATGCAGAAAAGGAATATTACGCAACACAGAAATGACCTTTTTTTGGTATGTGTATTTTCTGAGCTCTCTGAGCACAAATAAAGGCATCAACCAATCACATTGTAAGGAACAGATGTCACAACTCACAGTGAACTTGCTGAATGTTTGTTTCTCATCTCCCTGTACTATATTAGGACAATGATGATGATTTTACTGAGGGGAAACTGAAAATGACATATCTATGTTCTTTTCAAAGCCACAAAAGTTTTACCTCTAGAACATGGGAGTTGCTGTTGTACTGTTGCCTCCATTACTTTGGTTGTGTTTTGTGACTGATGTTTTAACGTATTAATACTAGGTTGACCTGGAGCCCCAGGAAAGGCAGATGAGATGAACCTGGTGAATGTGACCTATCTGCAAGCCGTTCTGTGCTGCAGTGTGAACCTGAGACAAAGAACTGTTCAGTTAACAGAGGTACAGTTTTTAACCTGGAGAGAATGTGACACTGCCAATCCCACAATGCCCGGAGTGAGTTCATTCCGACCTCGCACTGATAAGATGGCTGCAGCCAAAACCAACAGATTCCCCAAAAACTCCAGATTCACTGCCAGCCATCTGACAACAAAACACATTCAATAAAAAAAACCACCAAAGTAATTAATATCTTTTACAACATGTACAATACAATCACATTCAAAACTACAATATAGAAACATCAGCACAAATGTAATATTACTTAAGTAAAATACTCTAATACTGTTAAACATCATAGCAATATCTTGCATGAACCTGGTGGCGACAAAGCGAGGAAAATAAGCTTCCTGGTTTTTGTCAATGCGACGGTCGGCCTGCAGGACAAAGCCGCGCTGTTCACCAAAGGCTCGGATGACGCTAGTGCCCTGCATGGTCTCATTAAAGTGGCTGTAGATCGGCGAGCGACTGACTGCTTCCAGTCGTCGTAGCTGACACGACGAGGCCACATAGAAACTCTGGAGACCAGAAACATACACTGATATTAACAATAAGCTTCAGCTTAAACTCAGTGATGTCCAGATAATGTTCATGAGAAAGTTTTACCTGTATGAAAATGTAGACACAAGTGAGGGGGAGGAGCACCAGCCCTGTGAAGGGCGTGGCCAACAACAAAATGATGCAGACCTCCAACAGCTTGAACAGGTAGCCCAGCATCATCTTCAGCCCATCAGGAATCATGCAGTCGATGGCGTCAATCTCTTTGGAGAAGCGGTTCAGGAGGTTTCCGCTGGGTGTCACCTCGAAGAAGGACATGGGTGAGTGCAAGACACTGAGGAGAAGACCAGCATGAAGGTGATGCGACGCAACGATACCACCAAGCGCGATGGCGAGTGTCGTACCAAACATAGCCATCCCTGAAATACAGAAAATAAAGTTCAATTCAATTTCAATTCAATTTTATTTGTATTGCGCCAATTCATAACAAATGTTATCTCAGGACACTTTTCAAATAGAGCAGATCTAGACCGTACTCCTTATAACAGAGAGAGAGAGAGAGACGCACAGCAACAACAGTAGCAACAACTACACTAATAGTAGTGACTGATGATGATGAACAAGTAGAAGATGATGACGATGCTTAAAGCTGCAAGGGTCCTCGCACGCAACTTGGGGCGTGCTGAAGCCGTGTCACGTGCCATTGTAACACGCGTGGACCACGACATGAAAATTTTGCAGAAATAAGATCATAATTGCATCGGAGCACTTACTTCCTGTTGCCAGTAGGTCAGGTTGTATAGTAGTCACTATATCTGAATATTGTCATGTAGACGTGTTCAGGGCGGGATTCTTATCAAACGTGAAGTTTCATTGAGATTGGACCATGTACACTGAAGTTGTGAGGACGTGTTCAGGGTGGGACTGTTACAGAATATGTGAAGTTTAGTGGACATTGGACATTGTACACTGAAGTTATGAGTACTATCTGTTTTATGGCCAATCGGCAAAATTTGACACGTCGTCACAGGCACGCAGTTCGACGTACAGTCACAAATAGCACAACTTTTGATCAGCAATGTTTTTTAACTGTACTGACCAATTTTGACGTTGATTTGATAAATTCCCTAGTAGGAGTTCGTTGAAATACAACGCAAAAAAACGCTGAAAGTCTGCGAATTGCTGGAAATGGCATCACAGTTTGACATTTGATTCAACCTGGCCAAATTTGACAGCACGCCACGGACACGCCCTTTAATGTACATGCACAAATAGCACAACTTTTAATCAGCACCATTTTTTGTCTGTACTGACCAATTTTGAAGCAGATCCGATAAATTCCCTAGAA